TTTACCTCTTTAATTCTTTAATCTTCTTTCCACACTTGCCAGCACCCTTCCTGTTATTCCTGAACAGTTTGTACCCATCCATGACAGTGCCTCTAGTCATGTGAGCTATTCTACCAAGTCTCTTTTTTTCCAGAGATTCACACAGCCAAATATCTCTGGGTATTTTGTTCTGAATTTGGCTTTTACTGTGAACCAATTAAGGAAAGCATTATTTAGGTAATAAAAAATACTTGTCTAGAAATACATGGGAAAGTTTATTCCACTCCCTTTGAAGGAATGGGGTATGGGGCTAATACACTCTTCTCTTTTACTAGAAATGGAGAAGTATGCGGTTCACTGAATAGTGTAAAATGGGAAATTGTAAAATAATAATAGATAAGCACTCTGAAGCAAGCTTGTGTTAGCTATCTCTGTTAGTATTTGGGAAAGCACACTATTGGGAAATATTTTGCCAAACATACATAGGCATGTAGTATGATAACACATTGCAAATTGCTGTTGATTACAAGGTGGTTGTTTCAATTTTTTTTAAGTTTGAAGATTAAAATGAACAAACTGATTAAATAAAAATAAATGAATCAAGTCAGTGCAATCTTTGTTTTATGAAAATAACAATACATAGTCCAAGGTTTGTTATTGAGGAGTATAAAGTGTTAAGTACATAAAGCAATCAGTGCAATCAGCAACTATTTTGAAAAGCTTGTCTTGAAAACAGTGTTCTTTTTTGTTGCTGTTTTACACTTTTTGGCACATGGAGATCACAAAAATCACAAACTCACAATGTAGAAGATAGCAAAAAAAAGGTCAGTTGCTGAAACTACTATTATTTTAGAGTTGGAAATTTTAGTTTAAAAAAGTTGATTTCGAGTAACACACAGCTTTCAGAATCAGTGCCTTTGCTCTTGTAAACTACAGTAGAACATCACTAGCTTATCCTTCACTAATTTTGATGTAGCCCTACTTATTAGGAACTGGGCATGTTCACCCTGATTTACTGCACAGTAAAGCTAATTACCAGGCAGTAAGCAACATCATCTAAATATGTTGACTCTTACTGCACAGTTTTTGCTACTGTAGCAAATTAACTGCTAATTGCTGCACAGTACTGGATGTACAGATGGCTGGCCATGAACAAATTTGCTCCAGACCAGCTGTACAGCAGAGGGTGGGAGATTGCTTCCTGCCCTCAGGAGCTGCCTGCTGCTATGGTGGATGCTGCCACCCAAGCCTGGGCAGGGGCAATGTTCCCCTGCCGCAGCAGCAGGGAGCTCCCAGCCCCAGCTCCATGATTGTGATCCTGGAACAGGCGCAGGGAACAGGCTGGGAGCTTGTTCCCAGGCCCAACTCTGCGATTGCGGAATGGAGTGGGGGCTGGGAGCAAGCTCCTAGCCTGTTCCCAGCCCCTGCTCTAGGATGGCAATTGCAGAGCAGGGGCTGGGAGCTCTCTTCACAGGGAGAGTTCCCCACTCAAACTGGAGCTGACTGGGACCTGCTCCTGACTAGGACAGTTCCTGGCCAGCCCTGGGCTGTGCAGGGAAGTCTGAACGTACAGCCTGAAGGTGGCTGGGAACTGCCCTGTTTCAGGAAGTCCCCAGCCAGCTCTGGGCTGCACATACAGACTTCCTTATACAGCCCAGAGCCAGCTGGGAGCTGTCCCAGTCCCAGGCAGGTTCCAGTCCCGTGCCCTGATCCACTGGTGGGGCAGCTAGAAGTGAGGCCCAAGCTGGGTGGGGATTTCTCACCCAGCTGGGCGCTCCTTGCAGCTGGGGCAGGAGGATATTGTCCCTGCCTGGGCTCCATCACTGGATCACACCCTGGCAGCAGGAGGCTCCTGGGGGCAGGGAGCAATCTCTCAGCCCCTGCCAAGAGACAGCTGTGCAGGTCCACAGCTGGTGCAGAGCCAGAGGGTGTGGGAGCAAACTGCTGCCAGCAGCAGCAAATCTACTTCTAAATCTCCACACATGTAGATGCCTGTCCAGGGTGCACTAGAATAAACCCACCCTTCAGTATTTGAACATGTAGTCATATCCAGTGAGTTTTCCTGGGCAGGGCATCTATACATGCGCCCATTGGGAACAAATTTGCTCCCAAGGGGAGCATTTCAGTGTGGGGCTACTTCAGCCCTGCTGTGCCCCCCTACAACAGCCAGGGAGAGCTCCAGATACCAGAGTCAGGCTCTAGGAGCACCAGAATCAGGCCCTAATCTCCACGGGTGTGGGAGAAGCTGTCCTGCCTCTGGGGCAGTTGCCTCCCAGCCCTGTGCCCTGATCTGCAGACCAGGGCATGGGGCTAGGAAAATGTCCCCACCCCAGCTGCTGC